CAGATAAATTTCAGAAGTAATTATAACGTAACGATTAATCGTCATCAATTTTTACGACTGATATTTCGTCTGAAATTACGAATCCATATATTTTGTATTGCAAGAATTTGATAAATGATAAAATTAAATTCATTCTTCGTTGTTTTACCTTATTTTCACGTTTGTACTATTAGATTTCTCACTGTAGATGCAATTATTATTCTTTGGATCTTTTGGATGATTGGCTGAAGAAAGACTACAGTATTAAATAGAAACTTAAAAATCATTAAATGAAAACGCATACATTATTCAATAAAAAATATTTATCCCATGAAAATATATCCTCTTTCTTTAACATTACAGTTATCAATATCACGTAAATTTGAGATCATAGATGATATCAATATTTATTAATTTTTGACTTACAAATCTTTGTTAATGGACGCAAATACAATATAGTATTTTACAAAAATTAAGTATTCTATTATGGCTCACGGGACAAAATATTTATATTAGATTCTAAGCAATTAAGCATGTCCTAAATATTCTATTACACAATAATAGAAAATACTATGTACAATTTAATAATATTGGTACGCATACAATCTCACAGCACGTACAACGAATAAAATGTACAAAAATAAAGTGAAATAATATAGGTAATATCACTCACTCGACATGACGAAGTCCAAAAACACTTTACGAGGAATTCGTGGAAGGCATTATAGGCTTGGATTGAAGATTAATGCGCTGGCTTGTTACACACTTCCATTTCGATTCATCTTCTTCAAAGAATCTTCAATGATCTTTATAATTTAAAGAATTAAACAATCTTCAATGATCTGTATAATTTAAAGAATCAAAGAATCTTCAATGATCTTTATTTAATTTATCCACAGAATCTGTTCTCACGAAATTCGTGGTTTTCTGTGTTTTGACCATATACTAGGATTACATTCGAACTTTATTCTACTACCATAACCGAGATTTATACGCCTCCGTTACTCTGCCAGCACACGTATTTGCTTGTTCGTTGATTGTGCTTCATTACAGGGATGTTTTACTATTATTGATACCATTTTCCCTTCTTTTCTGAGCTACCAAATTCCAAAAACAGCTAAAAAATAGATTTGTTAATGCTGATCGTTGACTTAAAAGTTTCCTTATAGCGAATAGCTACAACTAGAGAAAATTATTAATATCTTCGTTTCTTTTGTTAAAGATTTATTTGTCGAAGCAATCAAAATGCTGTTGCAAGTGTCCTCACAGTCTTCTTCATTTGCTTTTTTGTAATACTTTTTGATCTAAAGAATGGAATTCGATTAGGATGAAAGAGTAGAGATAGACCTTCGAGATTAATTTGTTTGAAAGAAATCATAATTATACGACTTTGATGTATTTATAGAGTTGATGTTTTCTTTTAGTCGAATACTCATCTGGTGGGAAAGCAAGTACGAAATCTTAATTAATAAATAATTATTCCAAGACGGATGCGTGACTAGGACGGCGACACTTTGTACTTATTAAGTTAAATTTTAACCACAGGCATGCCGTTTGTTGCATTAACGCTTCATTAACCGGTGAAAGTTCGCCGTTACACATTTTTTTTCATCGTTCTGAAAGTGATACCACCTGCTGTTTCTCCCCTATAACAAGTAGCTTCGTTAGTCTGAATTTTCTTTTTCTTACAAAATCACTTCTGTCTCTTGAACTCTCGTTCTAATTAAACTGACGAACGATAAAAATGTCACAGTGTACCACTGATCATCACGTGTATAAATCTTTTTCTTGTCGTTCAAATTTTATCTTACGCAAGATAGAATTGTTACATTTGTATCAATTACGATTCTTTGCAAGGATTAATCATGATTATTTCAAACAAACAAATAAAAACATTTGAGATTTCTCGATCGATATTTTTGTAAAAAGTTCACACGTCTTGAATCGGCAAAGTTTCTAATCTGTTTATGCGCTTCCCTTCGTTCTCAACGTTTTGAGAATTATTACGATTCTATGATTTCCAGACGATCGAATTTCTTTCAAAAATGATTCCAGAATCAACTCCTCTTCAAAAAGATTCGAAGAAAAATGTCCTCCGACTAGCCAAGGGTTCCCGATTCTCGATTATTCAATACGTTGCGCCCGTGTTTAGCTTGTCGAAAATTTTTAAATGCGCATAAATTGCCAGAAACTAGAAGCACAATGGGGTATCATCAAGGTATCTTTGACTTTTTATTCCGTTAATTTATTCTGGCAAGCGTGAACGCTCCATGTGGCTGCTGTTTAGAATTTAGATCCTGAATAGTCTCGTTTGCGTTAAGTTATATCTCCTACAATTACAGAATATTCAATTATTATTTACCACGTGATAAATCAGCGTCTATTACAAGAATTTTAAGACACTGTCATTTGTCTTAAAGATTCTAGGATATGCCTTTTGATTTATTTCACATCTCCCTTTTGATTTATTTTCATCTCCTCTCTTCGAGTTTTTCTTTCTTTATTTATTGACCAAATATGTTTCAAATAAGTACCTATTGATATTGGAGGATTATTTAACTCGCAAATTTATCTCTTTATTCTTTTGATTAATGAAAATTTTAAATAAGTTTTTAATGCTACTAGTTATGCTACTAGAAATGTATATATCATGTATTAACTACAAAACACTAACAATAAAATCTGTATCAGTGGTAATGTTCGTTTTTATCGCGATTTGCGTTGGCTTAATGGCACGCAATCATTATCAGAATAGAGGTACCATGAACTAAATTCGCGTTTTCTGCTATCTTTTTGATTTTTAATCAAATCGTAATATCAAGAGCCGCGCTGTTATTTACTTTACTTGGAACATTATTTTCGCGTGACGTTTTCCAATATCAACACGAACAAACGAACAGAATCTACATCAGGTAGATGGGTTTTGAAATCAAAGCACATATTTAGATGTAAAATTACAATAGGAAAAAATTTTGTTCGTTTTAAAATCGGGAACAACCTTTTGAATTATCTATAAATAACAATAGTTAATTAAATGATAGTATGATAATAAATCAATCTTCATTATTATTGTTATTTTAATTTCTGTATCATGAAATATAGTTAAAATTAAAGATATCAAAGCTTACGATATCAATCATAAAAAATAAATAATAAATAAAATTAAAATTGAAAAGAACACAACATTGTACAAAAATATATTTCATTCTTATTATTTTAATATTTACAAAAGTCGGGATAAATATTATACAGGAAATTAATAATTAATCGATTTATAAATATATCTACCTTTACTTAACATTCTACATGCAGACTTTCCATCAAGGTCGATAACTCAAACATATTTGCGTCATTTAATAATTTTCTCGTAGACATTTGTTCGCTTAAAACTGATACAGCCTTTTGTAATATATGTTTCCACTCGATATCATCAATTTCATTCAAAGAACATATTATAACTTCATTTACTTCATCCTGTACAGAATAACATGCCAGGGATTGAAATATAGACTTTAGATCATTTTTTACTGTTTTTTTGATATTTTCATCTCGACTAACTAAATTTAGAATGAAAAGACCGCCACTCGTTAAACATTTTGCAACTGATTTTATAACAGGTATTTCTATGAACTGTTTAGGTGGACAACTCATTCCAACTGTGGTATCTTTACTGTCTATATCAAAAAGTATAGCTTTGTATTTTCTGCCATTCGATGCACCATCTTTGATAACTTGAATACCGTCCGCAATTTCAACTTTCATTCTATTGTCAAGAATAAGACCGAAATAGTCAGTGGCGACTTTTAACACTTTTTCATCAATTTCGACTGCGGTAATTCTTAACTACGGAAATACAAATGCATATGTTACTAAATATTTATAATAATATGATTAATAGTTCTAATAAATTAAATTCGAATAGTATGCATATACCTTGGGAAAACAGTTATATAAAAATGTACACAATCCACCTCCTCCTAAACCTACGACCATTATTTCATCACATTCTTTAGAATTTATAACAGCACTAGTACCAATGCTCATGTATATATGATGATCGCATGCTAAAAAACCAGGATCAACAACTTTTTTCATTTTACCTCGTCTAGATTTAGCTAAAAAAAAAAAAATTATTTATACATCAAAAACATTATAAAAATAATTCTGATAAAATAAAAGGTAGTAAAATTGTACCTTCTTTAAGACGAGCTTCACTTTGAATAACATATGGATTATTTAGAAAAATTAGTCTTCTAAATTCATTGCCATCTCTTTCAATCTCTTCAACAACAAAAGGACCACTCAGCTTGCTTTCTCCTTCGATACATATTTTTCTGACCCCAATATCTGTACCCAATGATAGGAATGGAATATCATTTTTTCCAGATAAACCTTCTGGTGCTAAATTCAAAATGCAATTTTCGATTTCAGTTTTTACAGCATCCCAACTTTCAAATTTATGTTCCCTGCATAACGTGACAATAGCAAGTCTATCACGTTGGGAGCTTTTAAGAACCTGTTGTCTGCCCTCCTTTGTACTAAACAACCAGTCTGTTTCTCTAACAAAATTTAAACATTACTTCAATATTAAAATATTATTAAATATTTTAAAACTTACTTTCCTTGTGGTACTATAAAAGCGGCATAACTTTTTGAACCATGTATCTTAAGCTGATCTAAAACATATATTGTGAAACGTGGATGCTTATTATCAGGAGAATTCAAATTTAGTGAAATTTCTCCAATATCAGCCACACTACGCTTTTGAAGTGTGTTAAAAATAAATGCAGACTGTTGCACTGACAGTATAGCTGATATTATATCATCTATTGATGATAATCGCTTTGGTGGAGCATCAGCTAATGCTATTTCCAGAACCTATTGTAATAATGTAATATTTACTTTAGAAAGAAACTTTGTTGTTATAATGCATAGTAGTGAAATATTGTCAATGAAATTGAAAGAATCTAGTAATAGTATTAAATAATTTATTAAAAATCAGTAACTTACTTTTTAATAAAAACATAACACTTACAGTCTGTGATAAATTTGTTATCTTTGTAGCAATTACTGCAAAAACTGGGATTGAACTTCCATCTTCAAGTCGTGTTTTTTCTTCTGCTTCATGACAACGTACTATACGAAACATAAAACCATTATTTGGAAAATAGGATAAAAGTTCTCTTAAAATATGTTCCTGTAATAAAGAGATACATATGTATCTGCCACCATTACGTAAAATTCTTGTAATTTCCTGTAAAAAATAAAAAAGAATTATTATATAATTTTCCCTAACAAGACATTAAAAAATACAATACACACACACACACACACACACACACACACACACACACACACATA